GGTTCCTTGGTGAGGAATGTTAGCCAGGTATGAACGTCTATTACTACGTTGAAATTGCATTAATATCTGTCAAAATGACTGACCCGGATTTCGGAGTTTACCCTAGTCTAGGGTCAGCCAAGCTAAAGTGCAGAAAGATGATGTCCTATGGCTTAGTGTCACTATCACGAAATGTTCACCACACATATTTAACGGTAAATACCCAAGATTCCATTCAATTATTTCATATTCCCCCCTGCAGAGCCATATCCTAGCCTCAATTTCGATATTTTAGGAATATCATATTTAATACACTGTCTGAAGACTCCAAATATTGGCACGATATGGTGTACCAATATGTACCAACGCATTGCAACGGAGATATTGTCTGTAGCTGTCCTGGTTCCATTGATATAGCCTTAGGAGTCTGGGTGGAATAGCCCCTATTCTGCCTTGATCCGCCTCAAATCATTCAGTAGACTCGAAATAAATGTTCGCATTCTGTACTAAACCATTCTATACGATATATAGATGATTCAGAAATTTTCGTACCCTTTTAAACCGGGGTATTTCCCAAATACCTCGAATTTACTTCCTATTTACCCTGAAATATACCTAAGAATGATGTATTACTGCACCTGTGACAAAGTACATACCCCATGCCTGTCATTAGAATGCTCTATTGACCTTCTATAGTGATTAACTGATGTTTTGATAACAGTCTGAGGATGTATCAGAACACATCCAACTGAATACACTGCAGTGCACACCTGCTGATACCTTACCATCTCATTGTCAGGTAATTTCGATGTATGTAACCCAATACACCTGGGATTGTTATGAAACTTGGGATTAACACTTTCCTACTCATTAGAATACTGCTTAAGGCGTTATATATCCTATTATTCTGCATAGGACTTCATAATGAATATTTTAGAGCGAAGAAATCGCGAAATCACCACGGATTTGCTGCATAGTGCCGTGAAGAACTGGACTAGCACCCGTGGATTACCTGGAATATTTGGAGGGGTACTAATCAAACATTTCAACTCACTGAGGCGAAACCATACATGTGTAATCCAGCCCAGTATACCGCATTTTCCTTATGATAGGGGCTAGTGATGAATGACTAAATCGCTTATATCTGCGGCCACAACGGTTGGATTTGCATAGGACTTAGTACGAAATGTTTGGAAATACCTGTGAAACATTTCGTTCCACTGTAACGAGTGAGGAGGATCGTGTAATACATAGTTTGACTACAAACATCGACAATACACCATTTCCGCTGTGGCGCTACACAAACAACAGTTTTGTAATCGCATATTCCGGATTCCGAAGTCAACCATATGATCCCTACAACATCCATTAAGCGACCTAAGCATTTGAACGAAAATTTAAAATCAGATTTTCGTCTGAAGGACAAGGGGTGTCTGGTTCACCTATATCCATTCACATTTTGTAATGGGTCTCTGCAGATCTTGAAGTGAATCTAATCCAACTAACAAGTTTTGTTATTGGACCTAAGCTGTAGGATCAGTATTCACCATTACAAGCTACATTTTCGAAGTTGACCCTAGATTAGGGTTACATCGCAAAATTGTAATGGCTCTGGAACCCCAGCCAGAGCGAATTTCTAATTGGATCTTTTGGATCTTGTAGTCAACCATATACCAGCTACAACTTTCATTAGTAAGCCCTAGGAATTTGAGCAAATTTTCGAGCCAGAGTTTTGCTGAACCATGAAGGTATTCAATACAGCCATATCTAGAGGCATTGACAACGAGGTCTCTTCAGATTTACTAATCAATCTAATCCAACTAACAACTTTTGTTATGGGACCCAAGGCTGAAAACCAATTTTCGAAATTTCATTACAAAAGTGCATTACAAACTGATCTAATGAACCATTTCTAATGAAAAAGCGCCCTAGAAAGCATTATAATAGCATATTGTAATGGAAAAAGCGGACTACAAACCACTACAGTAGTAGAATCTAATGAAAAAAGCGAAAAAAATACCATTTATTGCCATTTTTGGCGATTATTTACAGATATCCAGGCCATAGCAGGCCTAGCAAAGCAATTCTAGCAATTAAATGGCCGGCACGGAATGTGCCGAAACATAATGTATTGTGTTTTAGGCTATGGCCACAATATAATGTATTATTAGTACGTCTATGGGTGGCATTTGCCGATTCACCTGCCATTCGTTCGGCACTTGTCCGGCTGATCTTTCTTCGGTTACCGTTGTCCTTTCAGCGATTATACCGTATCCCGTGGCGTTCCCACTGCGTTTCATTGCGTTCCACCGAGTTCACTGCGTTTTCACTGTGTTTTACTGCGTTTCACTGCGTTCTCCTGCGTTATACTGCGTTCTACTGCGTTTCACCGAGTTCATTGCGTTCCCCTTTGTTCCCCTGCGTTTCTCTGCGTTTCATCGGCTCTTCTACCGGCGGCTCTACGTGCCGATCCTTGCATTTCCATATTCCGTGCATCCGGCACTTCGCCGCTTGACCGGTTCTTCTTCCAAACAGTCCTTTCATTCATCGTCCTCAGAGTTTTCCGCATTCTTTCACCGGATCTTCCTATCCGGCACTTCCGCATTGTGTTTCCGGCACTTCTACGTTATGTTTCCGATTCTCCCGCACTTGTGACTAGTCCGGCACTTTAGCCTTGATCTCAGTCCTTTCGTCCTATCCGAGTCTCGTACTCAATATTTCTATTGGACAACTTTCCTAGCCGATATTACGGGATATTCTCTGGTTGTGTCTTACGGGTCTATTATACCGTACCACAGCTATCCCAGGCTACGACTCATCAGCGTCGAAATCAATCCAGCGTTGAGGGTTAGACACGAGCTTGATAGGCTTCGGACAAGGGTGACCGAACGATACCCCGATTATGCTGGAAATTTTGACGTCTAGGCAGGCAGGTCACGGAAGACAATGGTACCGATTATTGTTTTTGCTGATGCTATGCTTGGCCAAACTAAGGTACACGTGGAACGCCTCGCTGTGCCTTCGTGCGGTCGGCTTATTGGAAACTCATTCATTAATCGTTGGGACCGCCATGATGAACCGCCATGAGACGCCTAGAGCAGCACTTTCGCAAAATGCGAAGCTGTAGCGCGAGTTGAGTCGACCGAGGAGAACATGGAATGTCGCCGATTGCTGGAATACGTGAAGCTGGGCAGGGACTAAGTAGGTGCCAAATAAGCAGAGAATGAGAAATGAAAACAAATTCTCTCACCAACTTGATAGGAGGACGCTTTAATGAGACACATCGCTTGTGCAGTCTTGGCCAGAGGTAGCGAACGTCTTCCTGAAGGAGAGCGCTATGTTCGATGTGACAGGATCTAATGTAAGCGGGTGGCCAAGCTACCAAAACACGTGCATTGAGGATATCTAGTGACCAAACTTGATCAGTATGGAAGGCGGGTCAATGGTTTCAAGCATAAATGCACAGAGAAGCCTGTGTTAAGCCGTGCTTGTGGATTGAGTCCCAGGGTAGAGTTGGTCCTCGATGCACTGAGAGTGTAGTAACGAGATATAGTAAGATGCGCGTTGAGCCATTGCTCATATGCGTAGCAAGGCCCGATCTTGATCGATATTGAGCCCAAGAGCGCGCCAGCTTATACCGAAGTCCAGAGGCAAATTATGAGTAACACTGGCAATTACTGCTGGCGTTCGGCAGAATCAGAGAACTGCTGCGATTATGACCAACACGTACCGAGGGCGCTGGTACACGACAATCGACTGAAATAAAAGTGGGGGGCTTAGTGGAACGCGATTGAGATTCGATATTCGGTCTAAAGAGAGAATATGTGCGTACCGACAAATCAGTAGTCGTAGATCTTCTGTACCTTCTTCGTAGTGTACCGGATCGACAAAGCGCTTGAAGCGGGATTGATGCCTGAAAATCACGACGATGACGAATGAAGGTCGAAATGGGTATGAGCATGCTCATGTTCATGCGATTTCCAAATTCTGAAAACAGAACGAAAGTGAGAATGAGGGACGGAACAGTGGGAAACATCGCATATGAACTCACATACTCGTGGAAGCGATCGCGAATGGACGGGATTTGTGAGACGCTAGGGTTAGGCTATAGCGTGGTGTATGTGGACAGAACTTTGCGTGGTTGTAGCACTCGTGAAGTGTCGTGAACGAATGTGTATATAAAAATATGGTAGTCTCAGTTCAAAGGCGGTGAACCAAAGAACAAAAAAAGAGGGCGCACCAATATTTCCTCCGCTGTGGAAGATGGTGCGTGATAGAGCTGACGAAGTGAGATGGTAAGAGCGGGGAGGGTCTTGAGCATGAGAACAAGATGCGGGGGATCGCATGACGAGATAACCGATGCAGCGAGCACCACACATCAGACCTGTCGCCAAGGTTCATGTCCTGCAGACTGCGCAAGAACACCGTCAAGACCGCACACATCCGCGGAGTGTCCCAACAGCACTCGATACATATTTATGCGCAGCAACTCCAGGTGTCCCATCTGCGCCACGTTGAAGACCTGGGCTTGACAGCCGCGGGATATTCTGTGAGTTGCGCACATATGATGTGGACTTGCATTATGCCACATGACAAAGTCCACTCGCGCGACGGCAAATGCATGATCAGTGACGGAATGATGGATGAGGCTATCCAATTGCTGTGGATGGCAATGAAAATGCGAACCGTTAAGTAGCAGCTAGATCACCCAAGAATTTGTAAATCGCAAGTATGCAGATAAGGGAATAGAACAGTGACGCCGCGGGGGTCTTCATACAACACGAGCAAACAGGATCCCTTGAGAGCTGCGCGCTGATTAGTTTTGAACATACATAAATTCAAAAATCGGTTAAAAACGGTGATAAATCATACTTGAACATGCTCTGCTTGATGATTTTGCTTAGTGCGCCATCCGAACAGTGGATTCAGCGAATCTCAGAACGTGCTCATTTGAGCCTGACCGGAATGTGACTCACCATGAGTATGACCTGGATTTTGAGCATACATCGCGTTAAAAACCGCTAAAAAAACCAAATTAAACAACCTGCTTTGTAATATTTGGTGACGTATTTGTCGTACGTAGTCCGAAGGAGGTCCTTGGCGTCGTTGATCCACCTTCTCTTCCATTGCTTGACCTCGAAGTAGTCAAACTCCAGTCCGGGGTGGAGAGCTACAAGGGAACAACCTTCAGTAGGGAAGCATAATTATACCGGTATATGACTCACCAATCGCGATGCGATAGACAGATGAGAGGTCCGTCTTTGAGTAGTACTTATTCATGGTGCGGCGTGCAAAGGCCATCCCAACTTTCACAGCAGGGATGAAGGGATTCATCAGGTTCCGATAACATTTCGTCAAAGCGATCCATTTACAGAACAACCGTCGCGATTGTGCACACATTGTCTTTGGAGAACCATACCGTCGATGATTTGAACATCTAAAGTGAATGGTGCGAGTCCGAGCATTGCAGAGAAACGCTGCGTTATCCGGAAGTGCGTTGGAGGTCCAAGGAGGAGGAGGAGAAGGAGTGGGTCAATGAATGACTTTAATGAAAGATGAAAAGGCGAACACTTACCCAAAGAACTCGGTGCAAGTCCTTGAGATAGGAAGCTCTAGGCTTGGTCGTCCGGTGCGCATCAACGTCCTGAAGCCGCGGTCTTCTACAATCCGTATTGGTCGATTGGCCTCAGTAATCCACTTCACCAAGTGGGCACTAGTCGAGTAATTAGATTATAAATCATAAGAATAATGAACATCGAACTGGCTCACCGTGTTTCAGAGGACGTATGCTGCCGATAGGACGCGACAACAGGCTCCTGCCCAGGCCGGTCCCATGCTGCAAATATGCTGCCGTCGCGGTCGGTATCCGGCTTGGTTCCTGCATCAACGGCCTTGTCGCCAAAGCACTGGCGAGCGTGCGAGAAGAGATTAGTGGTGCTTGCCCGGTCGCCAGTATGAAGGTAGCGTTTAACCCCGCCGCTTTGTTTGCAAACGGAGGCCGAGCACTTGAACCACTGGTAACCGTGTCCTTTGTCGTCGTACTTGATCGTGACGTTCTCGGTGTTGAAGAAGTTGTAAGCGGGGGAGCGTCAGCTTTTGCGAGCACGGTCTATGAGATATAAGCATGAGTTCAGACACATGAGGAGGGAGTAATTGAAAAACGAACCAAGCTGAGCCTGATCCTTCTGCTTCTGCTCTTGTGATACCTGAACTTTTGTTTGTTTCTTTGACTTTGGTTGATTGCTGTCGTCGTCGTCACTGGGTATCTCGATGGGCTGGGACGGCGCCGCGGAAGATCGAGTATGGACGGAGGCTAAAGGAAAGCTTCAGTTAGGACAACACAAAATTAAAATAAGAGATATGCAGCGTTGTCATCATCGCTAATGCGACGAGACTTCTTCTTGAGAGGCCGAGTAAGGGCCTTAGTGACTTTCTTGACTTTGTTGAACCCGCTCGAAACCTTCTGCTTGATCTGGTCGGAAAGCGAAGATTTATTCGACGAATGAGAAGGGGCAGGTGACGTCGCCCTGGAGGAGGGCTGAGAAGCGCGAGAGGACGCAGGCATTGCGCTCGCTGCTGGAAAGTACAACGGAAGCCTGCTTAAAACTGTGATGCAGACACTAAAATGATTAGTGAGCGGCCATAGACTGAAGGATGAAACATACGTAATGAAAAAAAAAACATGCTGCTGTGTGACAGTGTTAAGAGCCACACTCGCAGGGGGGGGGCTCGGGATACGCGGACCCGCGGGTGCGCGGTTCCACGTAGACGCGTGGGGGAACGGGGGAAACGAGGACGTACGGGCTTGGCTTCAGCTACTGGCTGCGCCTCCCACACTCTTGCGTGCCCTGTATTTCCGGGGGGGGAGTCCTACGCGGGTACCGAGGGTACGGGCGGAGGCGAAGGGGTGCGACGGGGGGAGAACCCACTAGAGGAGTGAGATGCGAGTGCGGAGAAAGAACTAATATTCGAACTAAGGTAGCTGTATGTACGATACAGGACTATATACTAAGGAACACGCGGCGTCCGCGCGTTCACGAAACAGTAATGAGTTCGGTCGTAGTAACTACAATGTGCTCGAGTATGTACTTAGTCCGTAATCCGGGAAGTCCGCGTGGCCGCGTATAAGCGCGGCCCGAGCCCATAGTCGGGAAACGCACGTGGGCGCGCCCCCTGGTAGCCCCTGAGGGGTTCCTTGGACGCGCCTATAACAGTACCTCCCCTTTAAGGCCGAGACCCATAGAGGCCTAGACACTCATGACGCGCGGGTGGTATGGTGATGATGCGGTGTGGGCGTCATGAGGGTCCGTGGTGAGTCAGCCTCTGCGTGCACGTGAGCGAAAGAAGCGCGGAGGCGAGATGTGTCAGCAGTATAAAAGGCGGAAGCGCGGAGCAGCGAGGCCATAATGGCGCCCACTCAGAAAAGGCCGAATGACCACCACAATCCAACGCCACACGATCCTGACGATGAACGGCGGCGACGGGAGGAGAAGCGGCGGCGCGAGGACGACGACATCGCCGAGGCGGACGCCCGTCCTCGAGAAGGATGAACGAAGGCGTCGTCCGGGAGAAGCTGAGGGCGCGGAGGGCTGCGGAAGGACGCGCGCGGTGCGGGCGGCGGTAGCGGAGTACGTCGCGGCACGGGCCCGCCATGACGATAGTCGGGGCCTGGAGGCGACGGGGAACGCCGTCGCAGGTAGTAGCACAGGGCCGGGGACGAGGGAAGCGGGCGGCGGGGAGAGGAAGAAACGGCGAGGGAGGTGGAGCCCAAAGGGCCGGCACGGGAGGTGGCATGCCTCGGGTTGCGTACAGCGCAACCTCGAGTGCCACCAGCGGCTGTAAGTCCGCCTCCTTTTTTTTCTATACGCTTACTGATGCGTCTCACAGGGTTAAGAACGCCCGCACTTGCTGGGGAATGCAAGCAGCGGCATGTGCGCTGCGGGAACGGCGCAGGTGGGGCTCGAGGTAGCGTGCAAGCAGCGCCGCCCGCAGCGAGCGCGGAAACCCACCGTGGCGGAGTCGCTGGGGGAGCTTGCCGCGCAGGTCTTTCGACCTGTCGGTTCATGTACTCGCCCGGTCGGAGGCGCTGTTGCGCCTAGAGCAGAAGATTGACGCGGTGGCGGACGCCGTGGCCCGTATTGCTGGCGTTGTTGGGCTGCCCGCGGGACGTCGTCGCTACGGGAACGCATGCCGCAAATGGCATGGGCCGCAGCATTGCCGCCAGTACCCTCGACGAGTGGGGGACGACGCGGATGCCACGGGGGACGAGATGGAGGTCGATGGGGGCCAAGGCTCCGTCGACGAGCGACAGCGACGGCGCGCAGGACGCAGGGCCCGCGGATGCGACGGACGAGGAGGACGCGGAGGACACGGACGAGGGGATGGTTTGGGCAGGGACAGGGAGGGCGGTGGAGAGCAGCGGCGAGGAGGGAAGTGAGGAGGATAGCGGGTAGGGTGAGCGCGGGGGCCCTTGTCGGCGCGCGAGGAAAAAAAAGGAAAATGTATCTACCTATCTACATTGCATATTTTTTTGTGTTTTGTGTCTGTCTCTTTTCTTTTTTTTTTTTGTAATTTATAACTAGCAGACCACGGTGTGATCGTAAGTAAGAAGAACCTAGCACAAGAAAGAAAAGAAAAGAGAGGGAACTTAAGAATTTAGGAGAGTGTAGTATATGTAAGGTAGTGGGCGCGGGTGCGCGCGGATGCGAGCAGGAAATAAGGGAAAAGTATTGAGGCGCGGATGCGCGGTGAGGTTGGTGTTCTGATAGAGGGCGCGGGTGCGCGTGGGCTTGTCGCGAGTGTAGATGGAGAATGCACGGGAGCGCGGGGAAAATAGAGAAAGGAGGGTAAATGCGCTGTGTGCGCGACGGAGCAATCTACAGGTGATACAAGCGCGGTGCGCACGGGGAGAGAAAAAAAGATGTTGAGTGGGGTGCGCGGTAACGCGGAAAGAAATAGAGAAAATGAGATGAAGGAACATTACGCGGGTCCGGGCTTGTCAGGATAGCGCAGGTGGAATTCTGCGACGAGTTCCTGCGCGTGCCCGAGCTCGGTCCGCGGAGAGCCACAGAGAATTCTTCATCAGTGTGTTCGTAGCCGAGCCATCGAACGTAGTATTGAAGTTTTACTTTCCGTCGACGGTCGATTTTGGAGTCTACAATTTCAGCTATTTCAAATTCGTCGTTACCATCGACTTCAATGGGTGGGGGAGGGGATTGTACGCGATTTGGAATCGCGTTGGGTGTCTCGGGTTCGAGCATAGAGACGTGGAAGACGGGGTGGACCCCGCGGAGATTTTCCGGGAGACGGATAGTGAACGAAGAGGGTCCTGCTTGGTGAATGATTTCGAACGGACCGAGGAATTTCTCCGCGAGTTTGTGCGAGGGGCGCGTGGTACGGAAGAATTTGGCCTTCACAAAAACCTTTTCGCCAACCTTGAAATCCGGCGCGGGTGCGCGGCGACGATCGGCTGGTCCTTGATAACGGGCTTGCGCCTCAGTCATCGCGGTACGTAGCTCTTGATGGAGCTCGTCGAGGTCGGTTACGAAGGTTCTTGCGCGGGCCGAGGCGAGGTCGAGGTCGGGATTAAGGGAGAGATTGGGGTGATAACCTTTGTTCGCAAAGAACGGAGATACTCCAGTGGTAACACTAGGAGCGTTGTTGAATGCGAACTCGGCGAGGGGCAAGAGGTCAGCCCAGTTATCCTGTTGATAATTACAATAAACACGTAAGTATTGCTCAAGGGGTTTGGTTAGTACGCTCCGTTTGGCCATCACCTTCAGGATGATATCCTGAAGTGAAGTGGAGCTTCATGTCCAACCCTTTTCCTAAGGACCGGAAGAAGCGAGAAACGAACTCGGAGCCGCGGTCAGGACGTGACGTGCGCGGGGGACTCCGTGTTTAGAGAAAACATGAATAACGAATAACTTAGCTAGCCCTTCCGAAGTGATGGTGTCGTGGCACGGAATGAAGATTCCCTGCTTGGAGAGTCGGTCCATCACGACGAGGATGGAGTCGTACCCGAGGGACAGGGGAAGTTTTCTCGATAAAATCCATAGAGATCGAGTCCCAAGGTCGAACGGGAACCGGAAGTTGTCGTAGCATGCCGTAGGTCTTGTGACGCTGGGGCTTGCTACGCATACAGGTGGTACAAGACTTGCAGTAATGTTGAACGAATTCTCGAAGTTTCGGCCACGTATATTCGCAGGCGCACAAGTTCAATGGTCTTGTTCTGCCCGTAATGTCCAGCGAGGATATGATCATGTTTGAAACGGAGTACGCGGAGGCGAAGATCTCCGTGGTCGGGGACGTAGACGCGGCCGTCGAGGCGAAGTAGATTATCTTCGGAGCGCGACCACCGTGGTTCAAGATTTTCGAGTCGGGGCCTTGGTAACTGGGTCTAGCAGATAAGCGTTAATAATATCTTCGTGCAACTTCTCTGTGTCCATAATAATGGAACCGCGGAGCGCGGGTTCCCAGAGGTAAGTCGCGCGGATAGACGCGGTCAGCTGTTCGTTCGAGAATATAGGCTTCAAATTTTGAGGGTTGACCGTAGCATAGCCGTCGCCTCCCTCCCTAAGGTAGACATCCCAACGTCTTGTGAGGGCGTCGGGTTTGGAGCCGAGCCTTCCGGGACGGAAGCGGATGAGGAGGTTAAATTGTGAGAGGTACTCGGACCACCGCGCTTGGCGGCGGTCAGAATCTTGGTGGTCGAGAAGTATTCTAGGTTCTTATGATCAGTAACCACGTCGAATTGGCTTACCAGAACCCTTCCAGGTAATGGCGCCAGACGCGGAATGCTTCGAAAATGGCCAGGAGTGTTCCTTGTCGTGAACGTCGTAGTTCATGTCTATAGAGCTGGAAAGGTGCGTGAGTGGAAACGCGACTGGGTGGATTTCGCCGTCTGACGTGTAAGATGGACAGAATCGCGCCTAGCGCGTAGTCCGGAGGCGTCCCGTCTCCACGACAAGTGGCGCGTCCGGGTACCCAATGCGTAAGCACGAGGGGGCCGAGGTGAACGCTCGTTTGAGCAGCGTTGAAGGAGTCCGCGTGCTTGCCTGAATCCCAATTCCAGGGCAGTCCTTTGCGCGTGCGACGGGTCAAGGGGACCACAATATCCAGTAGTTCCGGATGAAGCGGCGGTAGAAAATTGGCAAAGCCGAGGAAGGATTGTATGTTCCGCGAATCTTCCGCGGTTTCCGGCCAGTCTTGGATCGTCTTGACTTTCTGAATTATCCATGGTAAGACCTTGCGGGGAGAGAATGTAGCCGAGATATTCCACAGTATCCTACGTGGAATTCGCATTTGTCGGCGCGCGCGTAGAGTTTGTGTTGGCGGAGCCGACGGAGAACCTCCTTGACGTGTTTCTTGTGATCTGCCCATGTTATCAGAGTAGATTAGTATATCATCCAGGTAAATGATAACATAGACGTCGAGGAGATCTGCAAAAATGTCGTTCATGAATCGCTGGAACGCGGAGGGAGCGTTAGTCAACCCGAAGGGTACAACCAACCACTCGAAGGAGCCGTAGCGGGTCCGGAACGTGGTTTTCCATTCGTCTCCCTC